GTGTGACCCGTGGCATTGACTGAGACTCCATGACTGTCACCCTGAACAACTTGAAAGAGAAAACCGAGCTTCGAGTGAATTCCAGCGGCAGGACTACATCAGGATCCCTTTATCCTCCTGAGCCTGGTGCCAGCTCACGGCCGCACGTGACCACTTTGTCCCCTCACACGAGTTGGTGAGAGAGCACGCATTTACTCTCAGGCTCTCAGGACATTGTGCCGTGTGGGCATCAGCCCCCGCTGTGGCGACAATACAGCTGTTAGGAGGCCCCAGCCCACTGGTTTTCCCAGTGGATGGTCAGATGGTCGTGAGAATCCCGCCACAGCAGTCTGTGCTGCGGGGCCAGCGGGGCCATGAAACAAGGGCTCATTCTGGCTGTGACTGATGGAGACTCCACGAGTGACCCCTGCAAGCACCAGGGCAACCCCACCGGCCCCTCTAAATGGGAGGCTAGGGGGGCATTTGAGCTGCCCCCAAGGGCAGGAGGATATGAGAAGTAGAGGGAGGGAGTGGAGGTCAGACATGGGATGTGGGGGGCAGCTGAACTGATAGAATCCTGAGACGAGCTGAGGCCTCAGAGATTGAAACCAGGAGTTTGAAATGGACACTCTGAGCAATCGGGCAGGAGGGAGTCGTGGAAGGTTCATGTGGAGCAGGAGATGGGATGATGGTGAGATTTTTAGACTGCATCCAAGGAGCCAGACCTGGCTGGTGATGGAGAGAGGTGGTTGGTGCACGAGACCAGGTGTAGGAGAAGCCACAGGACTGAGTGACCGAAGGGGACAGGAGGGGCTGCGGGAGAAGAGGGAGTGGGCTGGGATTCTGGAACTCCAGTGGAGGCAAATTGGAAGCAGAACACAAGTGTCGGGTTTGTGGGGAGGATGGTGCATTTGTAGGACCCGGGATCAGGGGAGGGTCAGGTGGCAAGTGATGGTTTGGAGTTACCTGCAAATGACTTATCAGGAGACATAAGGGGAGAGCGGGTGACAAGTCCTCATAGATGGGGCACCTGGCACCCCCTTCCCAGAGTCAAGCTCCCTCATCTGCTTCCTGTGGGGTGGGTGTGCACCAGTTCAAAGTCAGCCTCAGACACCCCTCCTGGGTAGGGGGAGTGTGAGGAGTTGGCTTCCCCATTCTTCCTCGGAAGACCAACCTCTGCCCTCCCCGTGGGTAATCTTCTCTTCAGCTGCAGCGCCCACTCCCCTTCCACTTCAAGAACCAGAGCAGCCCTGGTTTTCGGTGTCTGCCACCTCCTACCCACAGCTTCCCAGCAGCTGAGGCCAGGGAAACCCCCTTCCCCACACCGGGGGCGGGGAGACATGAGTGAGGGCTGGCCCCTGCTGTCAGCATGGCCTAAAGCCAGGGAAGCCTGGGACCGTTGGTGAGCACCTGTCTAGGGTGGGCTTCCTGGTGAGCTCCTCAGTGCCTTAATGTCCCCCATCAACACACTTGCCCCTGCCTTCTCCTTTGGGCTGGGAGGCGGGGTCCTACCTGGCCTGCCCCTCCTTGATCTTCTATTATGTGCCAGGCACTGTGCTGGCCACCAAGGTCTCTGTCCTCAACTGCTCCAGGCTAATAGGGGTGGCAGACAGTATTATGAACTCCACACAGTGGAGGACAGTCCTAGGAGGAACAGTTTTTTACTTTGTTTCTTTTAGAGACAGGGTCTCCCTCTATTGCCCAGGCTGGGGTGCAGAGGTGCAATCATAGCTCACTACAGCCTCAAACTCTGGTGCTCAAGTAATCCTGCCTCAGTCCCTTGAGTAGTTGGGATTAAAGTTGTGCACCAACACGCTCTGCTAATTTTTAAAATTTTTGTAGAGATGGGGTCTTGCTGTGTTGCCCAGGCTGGTCTGGGACTCCTGGCCTCAAGTGATCCTCCCACCTCAGCCTCCCAAAGTGCTGGGATTAGGTTACAGGCATGAGCCACTGCACCTGACCCAGAAGGGACAGTTTTGAGAGAATGTATAACCGAGTTGCCAGACCCAGACCACAGGCAGGTGGAGAAGAATAGCTGAGGATGCACCCTTAAGCTGAGATCTGACAGGGAGGGGTGTTAACTTGACAAAAAGGACAGGGAGCAGCATTCCAGATAGAGGAAGCAGCATAGGAGGTAGACCCAGGCATTTCAGAAGCCAAAAGGTGAAGCCCTGAGGGGAAGGGAAGCCCTGTGGGGGGCCGAGGAGGGCCCATACAAGGTACTGGACAAATAGCCTGGAATGTACCAGGCAGCTTCCTGGAAAGACTGCTAGCTGGGAGTCAGGGGCCCAGAGTTGTAGCCCCAGTCCTGCCCTATCTTGCTCTGTGACCTTGGGCAAGATGCTTGCCCTCTCTGGGCCTTTTGGTCAATGATGATGCCCTCACCCATTCCATTCTGATCCTTCAATGCTTTGAGCCTTTTACCCTCGTTGTTCCTGCCTCCCCATCCACACGTCATTCAGACCACAGGGTGGACGTCACCTCTCCAGATGCCACCCTGACCTCTCGCATGGCCTCTCGCTCTATGTTACATCACCCTGCTTTATTTTTGCTGAGCTCATACCACAAACTCAGATCTCCTGTGGTTCTTTTGCTTGTCTGTTGTCTGTCTGCCCCTTGCCCCGGAGTTCTGTGCCTTCAGGGACTCATGAAATTGTCAGTCAAGTTACAGAGACAGGGGAGTAACTAGGAAGATGCTCCGGCTCTGCAGTCCCATGGGCCTGAATCCAGACTGTGGTGCCTCTGGTTAATTTGCTCTGAGCATGTGGACAGGCCGCTTAAACTCTCTGAACCTCAGTCTTCTCATCTGCAAAATGGATCATCTCTATTGCAAGAAGTTTAGCACCAGGCTCTTCCCCACTCCTGATGCCTGGTACTGATCCCATCTTGTCTCCAGTTCCATTTGCCATTTCAGGAGGTGGGGGTGGCCAGGGACTGATCCGGTTCAAGGTCACCTGCTTCGGTGAGCCCTTGCCGTGCAGTTCTTGCCTCAACATGTATTAGCCTATGGGTGCCGATGCTGGGCATTCAGGAGGGAGCCCAGTTTTCTGGGGGTCAGATGGATATCTTAACCCCTTGGGGGCTCCTCAGTTTTAAGCACATACCAAGTTGCAGGCTGCTTTAGGCAGGATATGTTATTCTCTTGTCATCTCACAGATGAGGAAATAAGGGCTCAGAGATACTAAGTAATTCCCCCAAGTTCACCCAGATAGATGAGGCAGGGTTGAGACAAGATCTTGAACACAACCAGGTCTGTCGGACGAACGCTGTGCTTCCAGTTACCCTAGGTACCCTGTAAATCTGCACACAACCACCCCATCCTATCTACTGTATGCTTGCTGCACACCAGGCAGGGTGTGGCCATGAGCTCACTGGTGGATTCATGCCTCAGGTGTTTAGGGCTCCTTCTGTGTTCCGGGCACTGTATGTGCTTATGATCTCTCAGGGTGATCCAAGAACATACACGTATGAGAGGACACATTGGCACACACCTGTGTTTGCACCCGCACGGACACGTGTAAAAGAAATGCCCAGCAATCCATGCGCACACACTCATGAATACAGATGTAAACATAGCCCCCCATTAGGACACGCGTACCCAGGCTTCAAGGCGAGGAGAGAAAAATATACACACAACACGCGTCAGCACATAACACACATCAGCACGTCTACCTCAGCCACACACCCATGGGTGCCCAGAGACCGCCCACACGCCCCAGTCTTCTGCCCTCCCCTCTAGCTGTCATGCCCCAACACTCCTCATCCCCCAAGTCTCCAAGGAGACGACTCAGCAGACGTCTGGTCTGTGTCTGAGATGCCCCCACAAGCAACCCCCCCCCCGCTGGCTGGGGCATGTGACTTCCCTTCCTGGACAGAGGAAGGACTGCCAGCACACCCCCAGGGTGTGGATGCTTTTGGCTTGGCCACCGAGGGGACTACTCCCCTCTCTAAGAGGCTGCCCCCCCGCCCCAAATCCTCTCCCACAAGACAACAGAGATACAGGACTTTAGAAATCAGGCAAGTTTTAAATATATATTGGTATAATATTAACTTTAAATATACATCATAAATAAGCCTTATAAATATGAAACGGATAAAAATTGATAAATTAGTCATGTCCCTCCAAGGAATTGATCCCGCAGCTTCTGGGACCCCCTCCAGGAGGGCAATGGTTTCAGCGTGAGAAAATTCCAGAATGCACCACCAGAGGGAGCAGTCAGCAGTGAGGACCCAAGACGGGGCGCTGAGAGGTTTTCTATAGAGAACTATTGCACCTCCCATGGCCGTTTGCATGATGCGACCCGATTTATGGAAAATTTGATATCCACCCTATTCACAGAGTCCCAGCAACTGACAGTTAGTGGGGTCTTACACGATCCCCAAGCCCCCGGCTTCACAAAGAGAAAACGGAGGTTCAGAGAGGTAAAGTGGCCTGCCCGAGGTCACAGTGAGTTAGGGGCTGAGCTGGGACCTGAAGCCCATTCCCTGGACTCCTTGATCAGTGCTCCATCCAAGACACCCTTCCCCTGTTACAGCTGCCTAAAGTGAGGTCACCCAGACATCCAGGTGTCTGGCCCGAGACCCGATGAGGCATAGGAGGCCAGCTCAGGCTGTGACCTCCTCCTCAGAACCACGGAAAGGAGGAAGTCTGGGGGCATCGATCCTGCAAGTCATGAGAGGGAAGGACCGGCAGGCCTCCGGGAGCAAAGCAGGGGGCAGTCAGCCCAGCCATGAGTCAGCCTATGTCATCAGACCCCTGAATCAATGGAAAGTCGCCCCGCGTGGCCCGACCCGGCCACCTCTCCAGGCCTGGGGAGCTCGGGGCTGGGGGCTGCCACAACCTGACTCTATTCCCCCAGCCCGGAGGAGGTAGAAGGGGCCTGCCCAGCTCCCACCCCCTAAAGTGCACTTCTGAGTGGCGGTGGGGGAGGCAGGCTCCGAGGCCTGAGGCGTCCTCCTGCCGCGGCCTCCCATCCGCAGAGCACCTGCTGCAACCTTCGCCTGCAGGGGCGCCCCTGAGGCTACCGGGGCCGCTGCCGCCTGGGCACGAGTCTCCGGCCCCTCCCGGAAGGCCTGGTCCTGGGGGCCCCTTTCCGCGGGGCCCGGTGGGGGCTGTGTCTCCGTCTCCGGCTGAGGCTCTCGTTCCACTGGCCCAAGACCCGCCGCACCGAGTGCATGAAGCCGTGGAACCCTCGCAGGGTCCGGCAGGCCCGCACTTTGAGCGAAAAGCCATCCGGGGCGAGGGTGGGTGGCGGCGAGGCCGCCAGGTCGGCCCGCGGGGGCTCTGCCGCGTCCGAGGAGCTGCCGAGCAGCTGGGACATGCAGTGGATGTTGTTCCTGAGCCCGTGGAGGTACAGCAGAGCCACCCGCTGCGTCTCCAAGTCCTGGGTGTGCCGCTGCGGCCTGGGCGGCTGCTTCAGGTCCGGGGCCGCAGGCAGCTGCAGCTGGAAGGCAGCCAGGGTGTGCAGGACGCGGCCCAGCGAGGCATTAAGGCTCCTCAGGAAGCCCTGCCTGTCCAGTCCCCGCAGCACGCCCTCGCTGGGGAAGGCCGCGGGGCTCTCCGTGCAGTGCTCTCTCAGTCCCTGCATGTCCAGGCCCTGGCTGCGCATCTGGGGGGAACAGGAGAGTCGGGTTGAGCGCTGGGGACGGCGCACAGTCTGATCTGGTCGGCCGGGAAATGCTAGACCTCATGCCCCCCTGTGGGACCCTCCCATTGGACAGATCCAGAAATGAGGCCTGAGAGGGAAGAGGACTCCAAGATCACGGAGGGCAAGGTCAGAGGGCTGTGGAGTGCCCGTGAGGGTGACTGCTCAGGTGGAGATTGAGGTGTGGGGACATCAGCGGGGAGCTTCAAGAGGGCTGGACTGTTCTGCATACCGCTAAGCCTGGTGCACACCTGGCAGGAGTGTGATCAACACGCCAGACAAGCGGATGAATGGACAGTGTCAAGATTCACACTCCAGGCCCACAGAGCAAGGGAAGCTGTGTTGTCTGTCTCCCTAGCTTCTCAGGGTTAGGGCTGGTATAGCACGGGGACTCAGCTTCCCCACCATACCATACTGATGGTGGTTGGGCCTGGTGCCCTCTGCGGCTCCTTCCCTTCGTTGGGGTTCCCAGCACTTGCCCCCGCTCTCCTGATCCCCCCAGATGTCTGAATCTCAGATGCCAGAGGTGCCCCGTACTCACAAAGGGGTCCAGGAGCCTGCTGGTGTCCTGCATGTACTCCGCCTGCTTCCGGAGTTGCTTGAGAAGCCCTGGGTAGTCTACCGAGCAGTTGCCCGCGAGCACCATGCTGGGGAATAGGAGTTCGAGGACCAGGCCTGGGGTGGAGATGGGGTGTCACCTGACTTGGCAAGGAAGCCACAGGTGGCAGGCTTGGGGAGAGGGCTCAAGAGGGCCCTCGAAGGAGCATACCCTCATCCCGGGCCTTGCACAGTCAAGGACAGAGGCTGGGCACTGCAGGCTGCTGTGTGCACAGGGAATATTGTGGGGGCCACCATCTCCTCCCCAGTGAGTCACTGCCCAGGACCTGAAACTGTAGTGGGAGGGATCCAGACAGTGGCTGCAATTTACTAAGCAGGTCTTTTCTTCCCCCTTTTTTTGGAGAAAGGGTTTCACTATATCACCCGGACTGGAGTGCAGTGGCACGATTGTGGCTCACCGCAGCCTCCTCAAACTCTAGGGCTCAAACTGCCTCCTGCCTCAGCCTCCTGAGTAGCTGGGACTGTAGGTATGCACCACCACACCTGGCTAATGTTTCTATTTTAGGTAGAGATGGGGGTCTTGCTGTGTTACCTGGGCTGGTCTTGAACTCCTGGGTTCCAGCAGTCCTCCCGCCTCAGCCTCCCAAGGTTCTGGGATTACAGGCGTGAGCCACTGCAGCTCAGTCCTGCCTATATCACGGCTCTCACCCCAGGGGTGGACGCCAGGCTGCCCCATGGGACGGGCTCTCTGCAAGACTTTGGGGCTAAGGGCTGGCCGCTGCCCCAGGACCCTGCCTTGTCAGCCACCTTGGGTCCCCGGAATAGACTGGGGCCATCCAGGTAGCTGGGCTTGAGGGGGCCTTGGGGCAGGCAAGCCCAGGAGCAGCCAGAGCCCTGAGTGCCATCTACAGAACAAGGAGAGGCCACTTTTCTGACCAAAGGTTCAGTCTGGACGTGTGTGGGAGATCACCCAATTCATGCCCTGATTTTACTGACAGGTAAACCAAGTTGCAGGAGAAGGGCTTGCCAGGTCATTCAAGGCTGACCTCTCTTGCTTCTCTCCTCTCTCCATAAGTGGCTACTCTGTCAGGCCCACCAGGGGCCCATCAGAAGGTTCCAGGGGGCGGGTGCAGTTATTGCTCACCACCA